CCATTTAAATCATTAACCTCTATATTTGTTTTTTTTGTATGAATGATTCATGAATTTATAAATTATAATTGTACCTTTTAATTGAAATATATATATATATATATATATATATATATATATATATATATATATTGTATCAACATTTTTTTAATTTTTTATTATAAATAGTCATCGCTAGTGATATCTTTTTATGTGTAGTAGATTCTTGAATACTCTTGAAAGACCCTTCATGTAAACTATCAGATGTAAGTGGATGCTATAGCCATCAAACCTGTGCTGATAAAGCACTTTCTCGGACAATGTAGAATATACTTTAGGTGGTCAGGTGTACGAACGGATCTAGATCTTCCACCGATCCTGTCTTAGCAACGCGACGATTAGCAGCAGTAAAGATTGGATAACTCGGCTGCCCTCAATCTAGAAACGCAATCTGACACAGTCACACAGACTCGCGTTCATTACCATTCGCGCGTCAGTATGTAAAAAATCATATCTGCCTGCTCACGATATAAATATCCTGTCATTGTTAAACGGAACGCTTCTCAGTTAACTCACTACTAGACACGTTAAACGTTGAAGACAGATTAGCCACAAATATACACGAATGACAAATGTAACACAATCTATATGTCAACATAGCGAAATCTGCCGTAAACTTAAAAAAAAAACAAAAAAAAAACGAAGGATCTGGCGGAAATATGTTTATATGGATGTTTGTCCTTGTTTGGGGGTGAGGAACCCTCTCCCAGAGTTTGTAAGTATATTTTTGATACATCCTGTATATATATGACGTGACAATATTTCGTGGCTCACTTAAGAGGATCGCGCGGCTCACTAGTATGCCGCGGCACCGTCGTTTAAAAATCACTGACCTAAACGCAACACAATTGTTATGAACTGATTACATTTACTGTTCCTACGATCCTAAGAGAGAAACAGGAGAAATAAAAAAAATTAAAAAATCTTAATAAACTTGGAAACGATTCTCTCGAAACTGTAGTTTGCTGGATTGAAATCTTGTTGAAAAAGAAAAATTGTTAGACACACGTTAATAAGTTTGATTGTTGCTTGTTTATTGAACCTTCCTAAGCTGAAAATTAAACAGCCTCCGGCGCGAAACGAAATTCATCTGAAGAAATTAAAATCATTTTAAAAAAAAAAAAAAAGAAAAATAAATATTTAAAGATAAGAAAAGAAAATTTGTGGGAAGTTCAAGATTTTTCCAAGATCTGATTACAACTTCCGGGAAAATGTTTAAAAATGGCGAATAAGAAAATCCAAATAAACATGTTTGAATTAAAACTGAGAAACTAATATAAAGGAAATATCGTCATTATATTTTTTGTTTTATATTTATAAACAATCCGATACAAACATCCATTTTAACTTAAACATTTTATGTAAATTTGTTATCAAATGACTGATGATATATATATATATATATATATATATATATATATATATATATATATATATATATATATATATATATATTTGAATAATCAATATATATATATATATATATATATATATATATGAACAATCAATATATATATATTTAAAAAAATATAGCCAACTATATATATATATATATATATATGTAAAATATTTATTTATAACAACCAACCCATATCATATATATATATATATATATATATATATATATATATATATATTTAATTAGTATATATCTGTGTCAGGTTAATCTATTATTAAAAGGAATTCATTTAAAGAATATAATTCAGTTTTATTATATTTATAAATTATATATGTTTTGCCTGTGTCTGTACTTTTTGCCAAAGATATATATATATATATATATATATATATATATATATATATATATTATATAGAGATAGTAGAGAAATGGACAGAGAGAGAAATGGAATGTAGAAAGATAATTTCAAGACAACATTAGATATGAAAATCTGTCTATAAATTCAAATAAATCTATCTATCTATCTCTCACTCAAATCTCTCTCTTTTAATCTATATATATATATATATATATATATATATATACATACATGCATATCTATATATTTAAAAATTATATAAATTTATCATTTTTTCAAAAATATATTTTTAAATATAAAGAGAACGAATGTTTATCATGAAAAACATCATAATAAAATTCAAATTGGCTTATATTTTCAGATATAATATATATATATATTGTTTATATAAATGGGCATTTATAGCATATACAATGTCATAAAAATTATATATCTCAGGTTCAATCAATTTTAATTAAAAAATATAATATTTTTTAAAATATATATATATATAT